AAAGGAATAAAAGTATTTTGATTACTAATTAGTTTAATATCATTTTATATCAAAGCTTAATTACATATGAGCTAATTATATATTTTATTATTATTATTTTTTTTTGTATAATTATATATCAGAGCTTAATTATATATAAGCTAATTACAATTTTTTTTTAGTACAATTACTAATTAATTTAATATTATTTTATATCAAGGCTTAATTACGTATGAGCTAATTATGTATTTTATCATATGAGAGGTCAGAGCATTAAGTAATAATATCTTGGGTTACTGGATATTTGTAAATTGTTCCTAGACAGTGATAACAGAAATACATGACTAATACTGATTGGCCGCGTAAGCAGCTGATCAGTATCAGTCATGTATTTCTGTTATCACTGCCTGGGAACAATTCACAAATACCCAATGACCCAAGATATTATTATTATGTATTATCCCATGTGATCTGTATAACTTAAGAGTTATTTAAGGATAGTGATTATGATCGTTAGTGTGTTTTTTCCAACTTAGATTTAACTCTTTTGTATATTGTTCTGCCTATAGCCTATCTCGAGAATTCTGAAAAAGAAGAAGAATTATTTTAGCAACTTAAATAGGACACAAAACCCACTATTTGTATAATAGTTACAAACTATTCCAGATCACTAATTTTCAGCAAGATTCTAGTTATAAAAAGTATTTGGTATTGCCCATTGATTGTGCTAAGAATACTGAAATAAAAAACAAATGATTAAATAGATTCTATTCAAAATAAAAAAAAAAAAGAAAAGAAAAAGATAAGTATACAATCAATATATTTATTTATTAAACCAATTAAGCTTTTACGAGATACTTATTTGATACTAATCAACAAAAAATAGTTGAAAAGAAATTAGAAACAGATGGAAAATGAGAAAAACAAATAAATTGTTTGTGGTCTTGCTCCATGACTATAAGTAAAAAAAAAAAAAAAAAGAGAAAGAGAGAGAAAAAAGCATCTAGCTTATTATAATAATGTGTTCTGCAAAAAAAAAGAAGAGAGAAAGAGAAAAGAATAATGCGAGATGCTTGGGAACATGTTGCTAACTTGTAGGTAGTCTTGCTCAGCAACTTATTCCACAACGCTTATCCGAAGCTTAGTATTGTTATGTGTATTATTATTATCAGAGATAACTTCTTAACTTCTTTACTTGAAGTATTGCATATTGATCTTTGGCTCTAACCGGGCACTGCAAGAGATTTATATTATATAATTATATTGCATTTTTTATATTTTTGAGGTAATAACAAATTTATGGCTTATGCTAGTTTTTTTTCACATTTTCCATACTAACGGCTATGCTTAAGTCCCAGCAAAAAAAAAAATAATAATAATAAAAAATAAAAATTTGGTTTTAAAGATTATAAACAAATTTATCACATTATACAGTTAACTCTACTAAACCAAACCTATATATACCGAACACTGGTTATTTCGAACAAAAAGGTAAGAACATTTAATTTATAAATAATTACACTGATTATACCGAACAATCATAATAAAATCTGATAAACCAGATCTGAACACAATATAGGCAGTATATTTGATCTAATTTATAAATAATTTTTTTTTATATACTGACATTTACTTAGTGCGAATGCAAAATGCATTTAATATTTCTTTTAGAGATTAGGAAAAGATTTTTCTTTTTTTCACAATATTGTAATGTGAAAAAGCTTATTTATTTATTTATTTTTGACACATTTCACAATAAATTTCATTTTAATTAAATTATATGATAACATGCTTAAATCATAAAATAGTAAAATAGCATACTAATCTGTTATTTGACAGGAAATTATCTGATAATATAACTTAATACTGTAGTATGGATTCTTTACATTCAAATTCAATATTTTAATTAAAATTCACAAGAAGCCTTAAAGCTCTTCAATAATTACTGTTTGTTAGTTAACCAGCGTATCTATCAATCTATTTCTTTCTAAAGAACATGTGAATACATATGTATGTACGTACAAGTGTGTATAGATTTGCGTAAAATATATTCATACATAGACTACGTGTATATTTCTTAAAATTTTTGCATGAATTAAACAATTAGGTTTATTTGAAATCTTGCATATTTATATATTTTTTTTTCTCACTCACTATCTTATTTTAATGCTGTAATCTTGGTTAAACATACCTTTAATAAGAAAATACTCATTTTTAAGTGCTATATATATGAAAAAAAGTGAGTTAACATATCTCTATTAATCCTAATTGGAATAACACAACAGTTATAACAAATAGATTAGGTTTAATGTCTTGCTAGCATACAGTACATCTTGAAAATTATTCACTTTACATAATATTGAGAAACTTTTCATTTAGAAATCCTAACATTTCTGAAAAGTATCCTAGTACTAAATAAAGTAGTTCAAATTAATGAACCTATTATATATATGATTAATTCACATGATTAATACAGTACTCTCTTCAGTATACCCTATATTGGATCTATCTTTTATATAATAATCCCAAAGATATTGTATAGACCGAAGGTACTGTATGCAGCGCTATATTATTAAAAAAGAAGTTAGTGCATGAATTGATTTAAAATTTTTTTTTTAAAAAAAGAACAAGTTATTTATCATTCAATCTGTCATTAATCAGATGTAACTCGCAGGTAGACATGCCACAAAGAACTTCACAAGAAACAATGGCTGTATAAAAACAGCAAGTTGCTAAAAGATACATATTTGATGAAATTAGAATAGGTGCGTATTAGTACTTAATTAGAATGCATTTGGTAGTTGAAAAAAAATAACATAACTTAAACATTCTTTATCTTATGCAAATACATAAAAACAAAAAGAACTTCACCAAAATTTTATTATTACTCTATATCAGGAATATCTAAGTTAAAATCATCCAAAGTAATTTTATGTAATATTTTTTTTGAATTGTTAGATCTTTTAAAAATAATATCTTTTTAATAAAGTAAAATAATCTTCCACACCTTTTAATAATAAAAAGAACAAAGCTTTTCGTGATTCTAAATTTTTTAAAAATCATAAATTATTATTTTTCTTCATATTTACCTAGACTATATATCTAAAAAATAAAAGTTTATACATTATTGCTTTAATTATATCAACTTGTCAACACGTTAGTCTTACTGCTATACAAAAGCATAACCTTTGTGATCAGAAAGAACAAAACCCACACCATATCTATAATGAACTAGCAAAAATTTATCAGATTGGCAAATTATCTGTATCTGATTTTTTAAAAGAAAAAATGTGATAGCTTTCTATTTCAGGTGTTGAACTAGAAAAAAAAAGTTTTTGTAGACCAAAATAGCTAAAATTAGAAGATACACTTGGTCTATGGACTGATAATGCACTTGCAAGTAACTAGGATATTGATGGTAACATTTTTAAAGCGAAGTCAGTATTTTTTGCAGAAAAGTTAAATATTGATAACTTTAAACAATCTGAAGATTGGTTAAGTGGCTTAAAAAAAAGATGTGTTCTTTGTTTATTTAAAAAACATAGAGAATCTGATAGCGCCCCCTCTGAAAAATCACTGGCTAATGATCGTATCAAATTACAAGAACTTCTTCATACCTATGAACTTGAAGATATCTGAAACAGAGATGAGACTGGTCTTTTTTGGAAAATAGAACCTTCACAAGTATTAGCATGTTCACTAATTGCTGGTCATAAAAAAGAAAAAGCTAGAGTTACAATTTTTTGTGCTGTAAATGCTGCTGGAACTGAAAAAATAAAACTTACTTTTATTTATCAATATAAAACACCACACACAATGAAAAACTTAATTATAATAATCTTCCTGTTTATTATTTCTAGAATAAAAAAGCATAGATGCAGGTAGTATTTTTAACAACATTCTTCTTAAACTAAACACCAAAATGAAAAGACAAAATTGAAACATTATCTTATTAGTCAACAATGCCATGGTATATATTGTTCTTGATAAAACACAGGAGGAATTTAGTAATGTAAAAGTTGAATTTTTGCCTAAAAATACTATGACATTTCTTCAACTATGTGATGCCGGGATCATTAATTCATTCATATGCAAGTATAAGCAGCTTTTTGTTCAAAATTGAATAAATACATATGATGATTTGCAAGATGGAATAGTAAAAGAGCTTTCTGAATAAAATATATATCATACATTAATTAATGCCATAGAGGCATGGTCAATAGTATCATCTGAAATAATCATTAATTGTTGAAAAAAAAACTGGTATTCTTCCAATTCAAGAAGCAGAAATGCAAGAAATCAATTATGAATATGATCAGTATAACACTAAAGAATTTTTTAGAGATGAAGATAAACTTGAAATTTTGATTAATCAGTTATCTAAAAATGATTATTTAAGTGCCTCCAAATACATTTGTATTGAAGATACAGTTGTTGTGGGAAGTCTTACAGATGATGATATATTGAAAGCAGTAGCTGATGATGCTGAGGATGAAGTTGAGCAACCTATTAGTGAAATAAAGGTGAAAATAAATTATACTGAAGCAGAGATAGCAGTTGACACAGTTTTGAGATTCTTATATAAACAAGAAGAAGAGTTTGGCGAAGTTGAAGAAGAGACAAAAATTTTAAGAAAACTATATAAAAAAGTTAGATTATTCTGTGTAAAAAATCCTAAGCAATTAGATCTTCATTATTTTATATCTGAATAAATTGAATACATCATATAAGTATACTATATGCAAATTTCAAAATTTTATAACACTTATACATACAAACCTACTAAAAGTTTCTTGTAATCTATAAAAAACAAATATGAATACGGTAAAGCTTGACAAACATTAGTAATAAGAGAATCATAAAATATAAACTATGAATTATTTTTTTTCACAAGTAGTTGTTTAAAGGAACTATAAATTTTATTAAGTTAAAATTCAAATATGCTGACATAACATATAAATTAAAGTTAGATTATTTTTTTTAATAATAAATGTAAAAGAAATACAATAACATTTTATAAAAACTATATACCTCTTAATAATCTTGGCTTAAAAAGAAAGCATTAGAGGTGACAATTTCAAATAAAGCTAGATCAAAGTAAAAAAGGTAGTGCTCTGCAAGAATGCTAACTTTAAATATTAATGAAATCAGCTTGGGGATGAGAGAAAAAGGCTCTAACAAAGATTAAAAAGTGTGAAATGTATATCGAAAATATGTCATGTGTCTAGTATATGATTGGCTAATTTTATATACTGAACATTCAGTATAAAAAGAGAAATGTGTATTCCAGATTTGAACAAAATTTGTTAAAATGGCTTGTTCGGTTTAGAGAGAGATGACTGTATAACAGTTACTTGAAGCTCTAATTTATTTCTATAAATTAATTGAAGAGAAGCCAAACAAGTTCTCTAATAAGTATTGTTTGGTTGAACTAAACTTATTGAGTTTAGTTAACTCAATAAAATTATCTCTTCTTTTGATACAAATAAAAAAATTTAATAATTTGTTTTATTTGAGGTATTAATTTGTTAATTCTTTCAAGTTTAAGAATATCTTTTACTAAAGATTTTCAATATATGCATTATATTCTAGACAAATTAACTTCAAATAATCTTGATTTAATAGCTTCTAAGCAGCACATATTGTATTAGCATTATTGGTTATAACACCAGCAAATTTAGATGGCCCAATAATTTTAATTACAGATTTGATTTTATTATAAATATAATTTACTATACATAACTCAGAACCTGTATATTTAGTATTATAAAATACTGGTTTGGTATAAAGAAGATATAAAATAAAATTTAAAATTGATTTTTGCTGAATATTTGACTATCTATCTGAAGCTAAGGTAATAGCTAATGCATTTTCTAATATTTTATTCAAATCCTATTGTTTAGCTTGATATTCTACATCTAATAAATTTTTAGCCAAATTTTGATAATTTGGACTAATATAGGCTGGTTATATGATTTTCATGAACTTATGCCAAAAAGAATTCTCAATTGCTGCAAAAGAAATACTACTGTACTAGCTGAATAAAAAAATTTTGCTAATACTTTATTTGCATCATTATTATCAAATAAATCTGTATTAAAATCTTCCAAATCTGAGCTAAAAGAATTATTTTGTATTTTGGCACATAATAAATCTTTTATATGCTTTGGAAGTTTTTTATATTTTATAAAATGACTTTTCAATCAATCATTCAAGTCTATAATACTATCTCCACAATGTTTACACTTTTGATGAGCAGTTTTTTGATTGTCAGTTTCTTCATCTTTCTAAAAATGTTTATGAATTTCCTTTATAGGTGGTCTACCACAAAGCATGATATGTAGTCAAAATAATTAATTCGAAAACTTTACTGTTTATTTACAAATAAGGTTAAAAGTGTTTCTTTATTTGGAATAATATTATATGAAAAAGAAATTTTTTCTTTTTTTACATTTTTATTTATATGTTCGCACTATCTAATTATTTTTCTACATTGTTAATAATTAATTTCTCTTATTCAAGCTACTTAATTATTACTATATTATTAATAAATTAATTTCACTTGCATTATCTAATTATTACTAAATTATTGCTATCTACATTGTTAATAAATAATTTCGCGTCTCACCTTAAATATTAAAAAAAAGAAATAAATAAATAATTTTGCTTGCATTATCTAATTATTACATTAATTATTACATTCGCACTACTCATCATTACTAACATATTACTGATATTAATTGACACCTGTGACGATAATTAATATATCAATATTAGTGACGATGATTTAAATCATAAAAAAAATCAATTTAAAGCGATTTAAAACTGATTTAATACATTACGATTTAAATCATTTGCCATCCCTAGTATAAGCGAAAACGAAGTTTCCGTTAATACCCAATTACTCAGGATACTTTTATTACTAATCTGTTTTCGAAATGGCTGAAAATAACGAGAAAAAAAATTGTCGATTTACGAAAAATAGTGATCTACTACTATATATCTCAAATTTGCTAATATGCAAATAATAATCATACTGTATTAAATCATTATTATTTTTCAAGAAGCTCAGGCAATCTTCAGAAGAACTATTATTGCCATTTTAAATGGTGATATTTTGATGAAGAGTAAGGTATACTGTTCCATAGCTGGCGTTAAAAAAGTGTCGGGAAGGGTAGCAATTCTGCTAGCAAGTCAATTATGCCAGGACAGAACTTTTCGGAATATAATTTTTTTTTCTGGCGTTTATTTTCTTAATCGGAATTTAGAAACCACTCCTGAAATAGGTGAGCAATGTTTACGTAATCGATATGCTTATTTCAACCTTTACCTAATTCATAAATACTATTATTAACTATTTGTTATTACGACTAATTATTTCCATATACGTACAACTTGGAAGACATAATTCTAAGTTTAAATTCTGCCGATCAAGCTTTTTTTATTACAAATATAGGCTTTTCTTTTTTTTTTACTTATTATTACTTACTATCTAAAAAATTTATGTAATAGTAAGTATCATACATATAAAATTGCACGTCCCTAAGCTGGAAGTAGTCTATAGTATGTATAAAGAAACGGCAATTGCCATGAAACGGAAATCTCAAGGTACTTTACAATAGGATATTGCCTTACTGTATAGTTACAATATTTTCCAGCACCTGAAATATATAATCAAGTCATTACTGCGCTTATTTTTTCGGAAAATATAAATAATACTTATAAAAATACTATTCTTTGATTAACATCCCAATTTGCTAATATGTGTTACGATCTTAAGTATGTATCACAGTGTAATACATACATACATACGTACGTACGTACCTTAAATAAAGTTGACACACAACACATTCTTTCTTCATTAAAAAATGTCAATTTGCAATAACTTATCTGAAGATCAACTTGATAAAATCGGCAGTTCATCAGATATTATACAAATAGTCAATAATACTACTCAATTGTATTTAGAAGATAAAATGTCGCAAGATTTTTCCCAGAATTTGCCTAATGAAATTGTTAAGGAAATGTGTAATCTGTATAATGAAGAAAAGTTGAAAGGCATCGATTCCCGTTCAGCTCTTGATACATTAGAGCAATTTCTAATAAAAAAGAATCAAAATCCTGCTAATATTATTAATTATTGCTTAAATGATCAAAACAATCCCACGGTTCAAATCATTCTTGCGAGTTGTTATTGTTACGGTAAATGGATTGAAAAAGATGAACATAAAGCATTTATTTATTATCAAAAATCGGCCGAGATGGGTGACGCTATTGGAACAAATAATGTGGGTTATTGTTATCATCATGGAATTGGTGTTAAAAAGGATGAACATTATGCTTTCATTTATTATCAAAAATCAGCTGAAATTGGTTATGCTGGAGGGATATATAATGTTGGATTTTCTTATCTCAATGGAATTGGAGTTGAAAAGGATGAACATAAAGCTTTCATTTATTATCAAAGATCTGCAGAGATGGAATACGCTAGTGGTGCTTATAATGTTGGATATTGTTATTTTAATGGAATTGGTGTTGAAAAGGATGAGCATAAAGCTTTCATTTATTATCAAAAATCTTCAGAGATGGGACATGTTAGTGGAACATATATGATTGGATATTGTTATCGAAAAGGAATTGGTGTTGAAAAAGACGATCATAAGGCCTTCGTTTATTATCAAAAATCTGCTAAAATGGGATGCGCTAGAGGGACATATAAGGTTGGATATTGCTATCGATATGGAATTGGTATTGAAAAGGATAAGCATAAGGCATTCATTTATTACCAAAATTCTGCAGAAATGGGCTACGCTAGAGGGACATATAAAGTTGGATATTGTTATAGAAATGGAGTTGGTGTTAAAAAAGACGAACACAAAGCATTCATTTATTATAAAAAATCTGCAGATATGGGAAATACTAATGGAATAAGAGAAGTTGGATATTGTTATCTTTACGGATTTGGGGTTGAGAAGGATGAATATAAGGCATTCATTAATTATCAAAAATCTGTAGAGATGATTAACGCTAATGGAATGTCAAGTGTCGTATAATGTTATTGAAATGGAATTGGTATAACAAGAAATCTGATAATTTCAAATACTGGTATCAAAGGTGGATTTAATTTTCGTATAATTTGTGCAGATAAATTGTGATCATAATCAAATGATATGATTTGTATAATTAAAATCAATATATAAATATATATATTAGTTTGAGTTAAAATAGGATCAGAGAGAGGCGGCAACATAAAATTTGCAAAAAAACTTCAAAAAGGTGGTTTATAAGCAAAAATTTCGAGCTATGGATAATTATAAATTTGAAAAAAAAGATTATTCGAGATTTTCTATGTGCCAGTGTGTAAATAAATAATAAAAATGCTTCTAGTAACAATATAAATTCCGTTAAAACAGATATAGACTAATTTAATACGATTTTAATCTTGAGCACAAAATTCTTATAGTAAATCATAGGACATAATCTAAGTTTCTGGATTACTATCTTCAACGGATCACTTCATGAAAATATGATTCTTGATAATTGATTGGCTATTAAATTTTTTATTTTAACAAATTTTTTTCTTAAACAGGAATTGGGATTATACCTTCTTATCATAATAAAAAAGAAAATAACAAAAAAAAAATATATAAATTCATATAAATCCAGAATTACTTACAAATAGGTGTAAATGAACATTTAAACTAGTTTAATTTTCTAATTTGTAATTTTAAACCAAAAAACAAAATTTTTAAACACCTACTTATTTTAAAATAATTTAAATTTAAACCTAATATTAATTCACTAATTAAAAAATGTGATTTTTTTTTTATTTCTTTACTAGATTTATGCAAATATAATTAAGATATTATACAAAAAAAGGCTATAAATTTGTTGTGAGACCCCAAATATGTCAGATCTGGAGGAATAATTCTGGCTATAAGGCCGATATGGGGTTTATTAGTGATATTGGTAATATAGATAATTCTTGTAATGTAAATAGTTGAGTTCATAATTATAAATAAAGGCCCTGTGGCCCTACGGAAAGTAGTTCCCGCTCTACCAAATAATAAAATATATAAGTCGACATGTATTTTAAGCATACATTCATACATTTGACCACTCACCAAATCTATCACGCTTTTTTCGACCCAGCCTAACCAAGCTTTGGTTACACGACCCAACTTTCGTCCAAGCGATAGACTCGCCGATTTCTGGTCTGACAACTTATATCAATTAATAATTTTAATATTAAAATAATAATTGTCTATTAATTTAAAGAACTGATATATTTTATGCCAGTGGTATTAATAACCACCTATTATAATTTAGGGTTAGATTG